ACCAAGAAGCCTTTAAGAGAAGCATTTCCGTCCAGATTTAGCCAACGGACGCGGCCTCAAGCTACTCTGCTGACCTCGGACTGTGGGAAAACCCAGAATCTTGGGCAACGTTTCAGGAAATGTCGGTCAGCCGGAATGGGAAACGGATGAATATCCTGTGATAGCTGGGGCCGGGCGACAGTCCTGCTGCAATTGGGATTGCAAGTGAATTTCCTGGGCTGGATCCCAGTCCTGTGATCTCCGCTTGCCAAATGCAATAAAAGGTAGTCCTCGACTTACGAACACAGCTGAGCCCATTTCTGTCGTTAAACAAGGCGGTTAAATGAATTTGGCCCCCATTTTATGCCCTTCCTTGCCACCATTGGGAAGTGAATCTCTGCAGTGAAGTTAGCAACACGGCAGCCATTAAGTGAATCTGGCTTCCCCATGGACTTTAATAATAAGAATAATAAGAATAATAATAATAAAGTTGGAAGGGACCTTGGAGGTCATCTAGTCCAACCCACTGCTCAGGCAGGAAACCCTATATACCATTTCAGACCAATGGCTGTCCAGTCTCTTCTTAAAAATCTCCAGTGTTGGAGCATTCACCGCTTCTGGAGGCAGGTAGTTCCACTGGTTAAATGTCCTCGCTGTCAGGAAGTTTCTCCTTAGTTCTAGGTTGCTTCTCTCCTTGATGAGTTTCCATCTGTTGCTTCTTGTCCTGCCGTCTGGCGCTTTGGAGAACAGAACAGAATAAGAAGGGACCTTGGAGGTCATCTAGTCCAACCCCTGCTCAGGCAGGAAACCCTATACCATTTCAGACAAATGTCTGTCCAGTCTCTTCTTAAAAACTTCCAATGTTGGAGCATTCACCGCTTCTGGAGGCAGGTAGTTCCACTGGTTAAATGTCCTCGCTGTCAGGAAGTTTCTCCTTAGTTCTAGGTTGCTTGTCAGGTCACAAAAGGGGGGAATCACGTGACCCCAGGACACTGCGACCGTCATAAATATGAGTCAGTTCCCGAGGGTCCGAATTTTGAGCACGTGACCCTAGGGAGGCTGCAACGGTTGTGTGAAAAATGATCATAAGTCACTTTTTTTTCCAGTGCTGATTAACTTTGATCACTGAATGATTTTAAGTGACCAAGCTCTTGTGCTTTCGATGAGTCAGACAGTAGAAGGAAGGCCGGGAAACTTTTGGGTGGCCATCAGATTGGCGGGACTCTGGAAGTGGGTCTCTTTTACCAAGGGGTCTGCCTTGCTAAAACCGGTCAGTCCTAGAGTAGATCAACCCCGACTGCTCTTTAGAAGGCCAGATCCTGAAGTGGAAACTCAAGTCCTTTGGCCACCTAATGAGAAGGAAGGACTCACTGGAGAAGAGCCTGATGCTGGGAAAGATGGAGGGCAAGAGAAGAAGGGGACGACGGAGAAGGAGGGGGCTGGATGGAGTCACTGAAGCAGGAGGCGTGAGCTTCAATGGACTCCAGAAGATGGTAGAGGACAGGAAGGCCTGGAGGAACGTGGTCCATGGGGTTGCGATGGGTCGGACACGACTTCGCAACTAACAACTGCCTTTCTACCTCCTTGGGGAAAATATTGACTCCTACTGTCTGTGTGGGAAGCTGGCCGAGGGCACAGAATCAGTCAGGTTTATTTATTATTATTATTATTATTATTATTTTAATTTGTATACCGCCCTTCTCCCATAGGACTCAGGGCGGTTCACAGCATATTAAAAACAAATAATATACACAAAATACAAAAAATACAAAATACAAAAATACAAAAATACAAAAAAAAAAAAAACCCCGATAAAAGCCGAATTAAAACCAAATATTACCAGCTGTGTTTCCGATTAAAATACTTTTAAAATTATCCCTACCTAAAATCCTCCCTAGGTCAGGCCCGCTTGCTGGAAAAACCATGTCTTGAGGGCGCGGCGGAAAGTAAGGAGATCCGGAATCATCCGGATCTCGGGGGGTAGTTCATTCCAGAGGGTGGG